GTAGCGGTTAGCCGGTGGCTCTGATCCAGGTAGCGGTTAGCCGCTGGCTCTGATCCAGGTAGCGGTTAGCCGCTGGCTCTGATCCAGGTAGCGGTTAGCCGCTGGCTCTGATCTAGCTGAGGACTGTGAAAGCTCCAGTTTTATCTGGTTGACCTTGTGTTGTTTAAAAACATGTCTTCCAGGTCCTGGAGAACTTCTCTGATGCACCCATGACTCCTAAACAAATCCTCCATGTCATCCAGACCAAGGGGCTGAAGGAGATGAGGTCAGTTACCTGCATGCTCACAGATCGACTCACTGGAGTATCCTGTTCTCCGGTGCGCTTTAACTCCTGTTCGTGTGGCCTCCTGGGATGGCGTCCTTCATTTGGGCAGGCGTTCCAGCTCCTGTTGGCCAAACAAGCGAAGCGTAGCTCAGCTGGAGTTTCATCTATCTTTAATTACTTTGGTCCCTTCCACAGTAAACATTCTCAAACATCGTTTTTCTGCTGACAAAGGATCTAAGTGTTCCTTTCAAACGGTATGAATCCGTACATCCTTCCTATCTGACTTATAATGCTCTACAACCTCAGAAGTAATTAATCACATTAGGTAGGAAATTACGTCCCCATCTCAACATTTCCAGTATGCTCCTCTGGTCAGAAAGGTTTATCTACTAAAACATTTAACCAAAATAAATCAATAATACGGCAGCAACATATATTAGCTACTTATTCATTTGGAAGATGTTCTAACATGGCTATTGACCTTTCAACCAGGAAAATATGAAGTACACCTTAATAATGGTTTAATGAAGTTCTATTAGCTTTTAAGCTAGGTTAGCAGCTTTAGGCGGTGAGGACACGCTGCTCAGGGTCCGGCTAGAGGTTAACATCCACCCACTTTTCACACCTTCTGTTTACATTAGGGAATAAACCTGTGAATTTTGTTAAAGAACCCAAAGTTAACTAAAGCCGACTTAATAAATGCTAGTGTTAGCTAACAGTTTTCAAAGTTAGTGGATTAGCAACATCACATTGCATCACGCTTTAGTCCGGGTCTGGGAGGAGATCCCTAAAGCTCCTTTAACATCATGATGATTTATCGAGCGTCTGCCTGACCTCCCAGAATCTCCTGAAACGCTGAACTTTCTATCCTATTCTGGGCGTACACATAGACCAGAGGTCACGGATTAGCGGGTCGCGGCCCAGACCCGGACCAAACCTGATTTAAAACATGTATAAATTACCGCATGTTGTCCGACCGCAGTGTCTAACTTCACTTGCGCCGCTTCTCCTGTTAATACGGTAAAGCCCTCCGGAGCCTGTGGCAAGCCGGGCGATGGGAAAGAAGGAGAAGACAATGAAAAAAAGAGAGCAGAGAAAGTGTGGACTGCTGGAAGAACTGCGGTGAACTGGTGAAAGAAAAGTGAAATGGCGTGCTCAAAGATGAACCTGCACATTTAGAGGATGTTTGGCTCAACCTGCTGCTGTGAAGCAGGATTCTCCACCATGAACAGAATCAACAATAAATCTGGATCCAGGCTCAAAATGAGCTCCTTGATATGTGCTTGAGAATGGCTTAGTCTCCGGTTAAACCCAGGTTTAAAGCCTTGCAGGGCAGCCTAAAGCCCACTGCCAACATTAAGACAGAAAAAAGAAAGAAAATAACAAACGCTCAGTTCAGGGGTTTGAGAAAATATGAATCAGGAAATTGTCTATAAACCAAACTGAATGATTGTTGTTCAATGTTTTAAAATGAAAAAAAAAAATTCTTTTTTATATCTATTTAAAAATTCAATGTATAAGATGGATGCATAAACACTTCATTTTATTTCAGTGTTAAATTCTGTTTGAAGTAACAGATTATAATTATGATTTTCTTTATCCGGACCCTGCTGATTTTTTTAGTGGTTCCCCTGACATAGATTATTCATAACGAGTCCAGAACTTCTGTCCAACAACAGTCCAACTTCTGCATAATGTACGGCAGTGTAATGCCCATGATGCACAGTGTCCTGAGGGGGGCAGCGATGGGAGGATCCATCACACTCACCTTCTCTGTCATCCTATGATGGGGATGAAGTCTGGAGGAGAACTGACGGTTTCCTCCTGTGAACCCCCTTTATACCAAAACGCTGCCAATACGCCATTATACAGTAGCTGGAAGGTAGAAACACGTTCAGCTCTCGTCTGGAACACGTCAGATACCTTGATAGGAGTTAGAGAAAAGTTCCTGATAAGTAACACACAACTTCCTCAGAGGTTTAGGATAAGCTAGACGCCACGACTGATGAGGAACCAACACTGAACGGATGTCAACCATCAGATAACTGACCTGGAACTGACGGCCCACGGATGGCAGACGCTGGCATGCTCTTGAGCATGCAAAAAAATTCTCGACGTACTTGCCGTATGTTGGCGTGCTCCAGCTTAATTCAGCGTGTTTCAGCGTACTTCAGCGCGCTCACATCTTAAACAAACCGTACCAATAACTTCTCTGATGTATGCCAGCGTTTCTGCCAGGTGTTTCTTACGTCGGCATTTGCTGGTCTAAATCATCAAGGTGATAAAGGAGCTTAAGGAGACCATCCTCCTCCTGGATCAGCCTGGAATCTGTTTATGTAGTTTATATTAAATCCAGGCCTCCATTAGTTAATCAAGGAGATTTCCATGTTGTCGGCACATTCACCTTCATCCAGAAGTATTCAATAAGATTACTACAGATTACCTTCATTCAGATCTAGGATGTTTTCTGAGGGTTCTCTTCAATTTTTTTTTTAGTGTAAATTTTAGCTTATTAATTTAAACAAGGAGTTCAAATATTTGTCTTTAAAAGTGATTTATTGCTCTGAACAAATGCTGTGTTTTTATTATGCACAAAACGCGCCGCTCTAACCTCTAGGCCATCACTCTTGCTCTAATTCAATCAGATCATTTCATTGATTCAGAACTGGGATCTTTTCTGTTTAACAGCTTATTTAATTTTAAAAGCAAATAGTTTCTCATGAAAACTGCAGTGTTTCGGTTTCTTAAGTGAACATGATGCGTTCTGTGGATAACTGTTTTTTCTCTCTCTCTCCATGAATGCGTTGGACTGCTGCCGTCGGTTAACAGAAGGTACGTTAAAGAACTTTTTTTTTTTATTAAAGGTCTTTTCTTATTATAATCAGTTGTCAGCAAAATATAATCCTATTATATTTATTTAAATTTAAGATTCCAGATGCAACCTGCTGAACAACCAGAGACTGTTTTGGTCTCACTCACCAGAACTCAACACATTTTTCTTAATCTTTTTAATTTTGTTTGGTAAAAACTAATAATTGTGTTTTCCTAAGGTTTTTTACAAAAAAATTAGTGGGACTGAAGTTGGCGTTAGGTTTAAAGCTTAAAGCTGCTCTCACAGCATGCAATTAAAACATAAATAACTTTTGTTTTCACCTAATAATGTGAAAAAGACTGAGGTGCTCGGCTATTGCTGTGCTCGGCTATTGCTATGCTCGGCTATTGCTATGCTAGGCTATTGCTATGCTCGGCTATTGCTATGCTCGGCTATTGCTATGCTCGGCTATTGCTATGCTCGGCTATTGCTATGCTCGGCTATTGCTATGCTAGGCTATTGCTATGCTCGGCTATTGCTATGCTCGGCTATTGCTATGCTAGGCTATTGCTATGCTAGGCTATTGCTTGCTGCTCTCCCTCCAGCTTTTTTCCACACAGCTTCCTGATGCAGTTTTCCTGCTAAGGAAACAGAACATCTGCTTCAGCTTGTTGATGCTCTGAATCATGGCGGATCCTCCAGGAGGATCATTGTTACGCTGCTGCTCTGAATATGAGGGATCGGTTTATCCATTGGAGTGTAATGCAGTATGATGGAGTAGAATTCACTCTTTCATTTCCAAGTTATTTTTACTGATATGATGGAGAAACATGGAGCTTATGAAAGAACTTTATATTGAGCTACAGCCATGCAGAGATGGCGTCGATCCAAACAGCCAAATAATGTAGTTGGAATCAAAGAAAAGGCATAAAATCTGAGATATAATCTCATCTTCTTGCTTAATACATCAAAGAGGAAATGCAGCTGATTTCCAGGCTCCAACATTTCCAGAAGCAGCAGCAGGTCCTTCTCCTGTCCTCATGTTTCAGTCCTTCATCCATGGAGGATCAGAATGTAGCAGCAGGAATCTTTTTTTTTTTTTTTTATCAATACGCTCAAAAGGAAGAATCTTTGTCACGCTTCCTACACCTTTATGTACCCAATAATAAAACATCAGCATGCAGTGGAGAAAATTCCAGCTATACCTTCTATCAATAATTAGATATTTTTATTAAAGATGTGGATAAACTGTAAGCCCTCATAGGAAACTAAGCCAGAACATCAGACATATGATTTTATTATTATTATTATTATTATTAGACTGAAAGGGAGCAGAAATAGAAGCAGCCAAACCAAAGGAGGAACATCTGATGGCGTCATCAAAGACATGTTAGTGGGATGTTGAAACATGAACTCTTAAGCATCAATAAAGCATTTTTTAGTTAAATGAAACCCTCATGAAAGTGGGGGTAGTCATGGCAAGGTGCCCTTAAACTAACATTTTATAGTTTGGATTTTAAATTTGTTATTTAGTACGATCAAGTCTCAGCTTGTTTTTTTTTATGAAAACAATCCCTACATGATGGTGGCTAACTGGAGCTTATGTTCTCTGGGCTGTTTGGGCTCCTGATCAGGATGGAGGCATCTGTAGCATCTGGACTCTGTTCACAACTTTCTGTTTTTGGAAAAATAGTATCTTAACACGGAGATTAGCGCTGATCATATTCAGCAGTGTTTCCATCTAACATTATAACTTCAGTCTTACTAAAAAGTGTTTTTTTTCTTTCTTATGTTGTTGGTCAAATGTAGCCGCTTCATCAGCCGTCACAATTACTGTTTATTTTTTTTAATAAATTTTAAGAAGCTGTCACATTCCACTTCAGCAATCTCTGATTGCCTTTAGAGTTTGATCTAAAAACAGACATTATTGTTCCTGGAAATTTTCTGCTAACTGCCTGAAACGTTTTCTCTAACTATGAACTTCTGTGTTTGGTTGCAGTGGCACAGCTCCTCTGGCCTGCTTGGTCACCATGCTGCATTCTCAAGTCAGGGGGGATCGGGTGAAGAACAGCATCTTCTTCAAGCTTCCTGGAAGAATGAGTCTGTTTACGCTCAAGGTACTCAAGTCACTCGTGTTTTCTCCCTCGCTAACGTTAAACTCTGTGGGCGTAGCAACCCAGGAAGTCATTCAGTAGAAGCATGGTTTCAGGGTCATAGGCTGTTTACCTTCCAGGAGGATTTCACGGTCACCTTTTAACATCTTTGTTTGTTTCCTGTAGAAAAACGCCCTCCAGTGGACTAAACCAGCTTCAGAGTCAGAAGCTCCGTCAGAGTCGGCCGGAAACGCCACTTCGAGCAGCAGCAGCACTCCGGTGGCCGGCTCCGCTGCTCCCCAGGTCGACTCCAGCGAAACGGCTGAACAGGAGAGCTGTGACTCCTCAGAGAACGCCGCCGTCATAGACAACGATGGTAGATTCACGCTTCTCTGCTTCCTGATTAGGTCTTCAGTCCAGTTCATCCTGAGTTTAGATGCATTTTTTGGAGCAAAGCTTCCATGTTTGATCAGCAGTGGGAAGCCATGCTAGGCTACTTGCTCTGATCCAGGCGCATCATTCCGCTGCAGTAGCCATGTTTTACCGTGCTGGTTTAGGAAAGTTCATGCTGGTTCCCAGATTAGCTGATGGATACAGCAAACATCTGGATGTTCACTTCCAACTCATTCCCAGATGTAAGCTTTTCATCAATGAGGTGAAATTACGCTACCACTGATGAGGAGGCAGCAGAGCGCCCCCTATAGACAGCTGATGTAAACATGAGCTGCACCTCCTGAGCAGCTGCAGAAAGTCCAGCCTCCTTCAGACCCCTTCAGCGTGTTTGGTTCTCTGGTCCACAGGGTTGTTCAGCCGGGTGGGGGGTGGGTGGGGGTCTATCGTCTCTACAGCCTGGAGCCTGATGTTATCTGGAGATGCTCCAGCAGATGAACCACATTGGTGAAAGGAAGAAGGATCTAAGGAGATTCTGGTCTCCAGTCTGAGTTGGGTTAAAGGAGCCAGAGGGAAGTCATGTGATCCAGGTTGCCAGCCTCCCAGACCAGCCCGTCCTTCCCTTTAAGCTCCATTACTGACTGCATAAAGGAGCAGCATCCAGACTCTGTCCACTCAGGGGCCAAAATCAGACCACCTTCCTGGAATTGAAGGCAACATGTTTACCTGAAGCTCATTTTTCATACAGATCCCAGTTCCTCCATAGACCTGAAGCTCTTCATCATCGTCCGAACAGATCATCATGTCCTGCTCTAATAGCTGAGGTCTGGCTGCTGATCTGTCTGACTTTGGTTCCACCTTCTATGAAAACTGGCTGCATAAATAAAGCTTTGCTTATTATAACATCATGGGGTTAGGGTTAACCCCTAACCCTGATGAAATGATGGGTTAGGGTTAAAGGATAATTCCGGTTTTTAACACTTTTAGCCCATTTTCTGTAGTGTCCAGGATGAAATCGAATGATCGACACCAACATTTTGACGATTGGTCCTGTCTCTGCTTTTTGGCTCATGCAGAATCCCCCCCTGGCTGCTTCAGAATGGCTTCCATAGTGCATGTCCGATAATGTCCTTAAAACAACCTTAAACGTTCTTTTTTTTAAATATGCTACTCACCGGGTCGTCAGCGCTGTTCAATGATGTTCCAAAAAAAGTTTCGTGAAGAAAAACCGTTCCTGTCTTGTTTTATTTAGCATTTTGTAAATCCCAGAACTATTTTTTCCGATACATCACAATCGCTTATAAACTTCCGCTTCCCGTTCGAATCTGAAGCGTTGCACACTCCAGACCACTAGTTGGCGACGGTATCCTCTACCGTCAAACTCAAAGTCCAATATGTCCTCCTCAAGAATCCACCTTTCGTATTCCATTTTCAGAGTTTTTTAAAGTGTTTAACAGAGACGTTAGCACCTCGACGTTGGAGTACACAGAGTGAAGCAGAAACACTTGGGCCTTGCGAAAAGACTACAACTAAGCGTAAACAGGCCCCATTTTCGTTTCCGGTTGTTTTAAGGACATTATCGGACATGCACTATGGAAGCCATTCTGAAGCAGCCAGGGGGGGATTCTGCATGAGCCAAATAGCAGAGACGGGACCAATTGTCAAAATTTTGGTGTCGATCATTCGATTTCCTCCTGGACACTACAGAAAATGGGCTAAAAGTGTTAAAAACCGGAATTATACTTTAAGGTTAACCCTGACCCATCATTTCAGCAGATTTTTCCTCTTTAACCAAATAAAAACTTCCCACCTGCCCAGGATCTAAAGCATTAGTGCTGTGTCCCTGCACAGCCTCCTTACTGAAGTTGTTGGTTTGAAAACCCGCACAGGTAGAGGAGGATTCTAGCTGCCTAACCGTATTTATTTTTCTTGGCCTGTAGCATCAGTGGATGAGAATTCGTCCAGCGCCTCCTGCTCCACAGAGCTGCAGGCCCCCAGCAGCCACCCTCAGACACGCCTCAGCAGGGCCGCCGGGCAGCAGGGACGCACAGATGCTCAGCAGAGCCAGCACGCTCAGACCAGGCTGAGTCGTTCACGACAGGTGAGCTCAAAGATCGGTTTCACATCAGATTAAAAATGACTGACATTTCTAATCTGTAGAATAAACAGCTGATGCTTCAGAGGAAACGGCTCGGCTGCTTTCGGTCTTCCTTAAGCAGGGGCACGCTAGTCAACCAGTTCAGAAAGACAATATAGTTGAGGTTTTATTTCACTCCCATCCTGCTGGTCCATAAATGTTCCCCAGTCGTTTATTCTGAGGTTTTATGATTGAACCAATCCACCCTCAGAGAGAAAGGAAGTGTTTAGCTTCTAGTCAGAATATCTATGACCACGGTGAGAGGCTCGCTAACGCAGGATTTATGGGAATAAACAGAAAGCAGAAAAAGGATTGAAGGGAGGCAGAGCAGGATGAGCACATTTCCCTTCATTCAAAGGGGGGGTTCGACCACAGGCGCATATCTAAACGCTGGTATGTTGGAAAAACCGCTGAACAGTTGCTAGTCCGACAAAGAGAACCAAATGTTTGAGTGCTACTTTAATAAAAAAAAAGGAATATATGTCCAAATGGCATCATGGTCGCTTTAAAGGGGACATTAGACTGTGGGGACGTCAGGCCCACCAGGTTCTTGGGATGTTCTCTCCAAAGATCAGAAGCCGTGATTCTTAGTATGTTAAACTTGATGAACCTCACTCCTCAATGTGGAACTGTTAGCATTGCTAGCTGCATGGCCTTAGCTTGCTTTGCTTCCACCTCCTGCTTCACATGTGTACAGATTAGGGATGGAACGGTTTATGAAAACCGTCCGAAATGTTCGGTTCGACTGTCTCGGTTCGGTTCGCGTGTGTTGCGTTCGGTTCATGCGCTGCTCCTTTTTCTCATAGGCGAAGCGTTTACACTCCAGAGCAGAAGGTGGCCGTACTGCGACCAAAGCCAACCACCAGTAGTAAACAAGAAGAAGAAGAAGCGAAGCAGCATAGCCGGGTGTAGCAGAATAAAATCAGTTGTTGTGGAGAATTGTGTGGGTATGGCGAGTGGGAAAGAACAGGAGTTGGAAGACGCGCCAGCAGCACTTTATAGGTCTGCTGTATGGGACCACTTTGCATTTAGAGTGACCTACGATGACGGCGGAAAGAAAGTTGTGAATAAAAGTGCAACAGTGTGCAAGCATTGTGCAACACGTTTTGTTTATGCTAACAGCAACATGACCAACATGTCGGGCTAACAATCAACATATACCAAACCGTGACCGTGAAACCGTGAACCAAACCGTGGATTTTGTCAACCGTTCCACCTTAATAGGAGCTATCAGCATTGATCAATATCCACTGTTTATTAAATGTTTTATAATCTTTTTCTCTTTTTTTTTTTCTGTAGTCAGGAAGACAAAGGAAGAAAGCCGTCATGATGCCTCGCGTTGTTCTCACTCCTCTTAAAGTCAACGGAGAGCACGTGTCCACAGGTATGAGCGGTTTGGACTGTGCTTGGCGTGTTTTCTGTTTGGATTTTATCCGTTACAGACCTTCAGAATGGACCCTCTGTATAATGCTTTGTCTTGATGTGGTTTCCTGTCCTCCATGTTGAAAGCGTTGTTTTGTTTCCTCCCTCTGTGGTAGGTCCCATGAAAAGAAGTCGTGGAGGCGTAGATATAGACTTTGAGACGCCGGGCTCCATTCTGGTCAACACCAACATCCGAGCCCTCATCAATGTGCGCACCTTCTCAGCTTTCCCCTCACATTCACAGCAGCAGCTGCTCCAGCTGCTGCCAGAGGTGGATCGACAGGTAGATCCTTTTTCCTCTTAATGGTTTCTAACTCTTCAAACCTGGTAGTGATGCAGAGGATGACGCTCCTTCAGTACTGGGACCAGAAACGGGTCACCTTAAAACCACTGAACCTTCCCAGGCTAACCTGAGATCTGGTTTACAGGAAGATTTTTATAGTTTCCATCAGTAAAAAGTTTCATATTTATTTATTTTATAGCCTCTTATAACTACTCTTTGTTTATATAAACTGTTTATAGTCCATACAGACATGGTCTCTGTGCAAATGGAGATAAATATTATAGCACTTCTGCATAGATGCAAACTACATTTTGGAATTGTTGTTTTTAGGTTGGACCTGACGGCATGGCGCGGCTGAGCACGTCCGCGCTGAACAATGAGTTCTTCACACACGCCTCTCAGAGCTGGAAGGAAAGACTGGCTGAAGGTAACGTCTTCACATCCAGCACTGTTGGGAGATGGTCGCTGGTGGATTAGAAAAGCTTATTGAGGTGAACAGGATGTTGATTCAGCCCAGATTGAAGCTCCTGTTTCTGAGCTGATTTAAACTAATCAAGGACAAAAATGAAACCCTTCAGTGAGAAAACGGGAGACGTTACAGATCACCTGATTCCACTCGAACCTCTGAGAGATGCAGAAACTTCACTTCTTTCATGCAAAGACTGAAAGCCGAGCGTTTGACGAGGGGAAGAATGGCGCCCTGCTACGCCTAAACCCGCCACATGTAGAGAAAATCATGTTTTGGTTATTGACCAACGTCCCAAACTGTCCTCGCTAAAAGCAGCGCTAGTAAAACCAAAATGGAGGAGTGGTTTCTAAAGCTTTTCAGTGTACCATGACAGAAGGCAGGATATGATGCGTACGGTGGATGTGATGGTGTCGTTATGGTGCGAGTTTAAACGCTGAGATGTTTGTTTGTTTAGGTGAATTCACCCATGAAATGCAGGTCCGATTCCGACAGGAAAAGGAGAAAGAGAAGAAGGTGGAGGCGTGGAAAGAGAAGTTTTTTGAAGAATACCACGGGCAGAAGTAAGAGCATGTTGTGTTTAGAAAAGCTGTTTCTTTTTTAGCAAAGTGCCGCTTGCTGAGCTCTCGCTGTCGCCCTGCAGGTCGGGTCTGACGCGGGACGAGTCCCTAAAGCTAACGGTCAGTGAAGCCAGTGAGGTGGCGGCCACCGTGCTGGAAGGCGACGCGGACGTGGTCTCGGCGGGCGTCCCCAAAAGGCGCACTGTGGGTCGGCGTAGGAGAGACGGCAGGATGAGGAGGCGCACGCGGGCCGACCTGCGGCGCAGGGCCCGCCGCACCCTTTGCAAGGCCAGTCCGGCTCTGCCACCCAAAGAGGCGGACGCCGAAACGGTTTTGGACGTCGCCGCCGTCTCTGTGGACTCCCCCGTCCCCAGCAGCACGGATGTTCAAGGGGAGGTGGTGCTCCACGTGGACTGTGGCGTGGAGCTTCCCGTCGAGAACACGGTGGCGGAACCGGAAGCCTCTCCTGCTCCAGAGCCGACCACACCTGCACCTCCCACTCCGGTTCCCAGTCCAAGTCCCAGTACAGCCTCCACCAGTGCAAATGAAGAGCTGGAAGTGGCTCTCTCTCAGCTCCCCAAGGAGGAGCCACCTGTCCTGGCTTCCACCACCTCCCCATCTTCCTCGTCCAGCTCCTCTTCCTCACCGGCCTCCTCTCCCGCCTCCTCTCCCTCTTCTCCTGATCAGCAGGGAGCTTTTACCACCGGCCTGGACTCCTCGTCCTCTTCAGGGTCCTCCAGTGCCACGGTTCCTGCGGATCACTTGGATGACGCCGCCTCGGTGGTCACCTCTGTGACCGGGGGGACCGTCACCAGCAGCCGTGAGAGCAGTCCGTCAGCCAGCCCCGCCACCACCCCCATGCTCGTCGGCCAGCTCAAGGAGCAGAAGAGGAGGCAGGATGAGGTCGAGGCTTTCTCCAGCTTTCCCGAGAAAAGGGCACGTCTCAACGACCGTCGGTCCTTTCGTACCACAATTGACAGCGTGTGTTCAGAGAAGCCGCAGCCGACAACCGAAGAGCCCAAGGTGCCACCTATCCGGGTGAGTCCTGCGATGTTTGCTCTCTTCACGTCTAGGAATGCTTCACATGTTGACCTTCTGCTTTATCTGCTCTTCTAGATTCAACTTTCCAGAATCAAACCTCCCTGGGTCAAAGGTCACCCCACCTACCAGATCTGTCCCCGGATCGTGCCCCCGACGGAATGCTCGCGGAGGTCGGGGACGGGCGGCGCGCGGACTCTGGCAGACATCAAGGCCCGCGCCCAGCAAGCCCGCGCCCAACGGGAGGCTGCTGCTGCGGCCTCTGCCGAGGGGGCGGGGCCGTCCTGTGTCCGGGTGTGGCCTCCTGCTGGGATATCGGATAGCAGCAGCGAACGAAGAAGCCGAGAGCACCCAGGACCAGTCGAGCCCGGAGGAGGAGGAGGAGGAGGAGATGGAGGAAGAGGAGGAGGAGGAGCCAATGGGAGTGAAGAGCAGGACTTTTCTTCGGAGCCTAATTCGTCTGGAACACAATTACAGCTTCCCGATGTAGAAGCTGCTTCCCACTCCTCTCCCTCGCCGTCCAACACCTCCGCCTCCATGTCTCCACAAGTCATCAGCCCTCATCAGCAGAGACCAGGTGGGGAGACCAAGGTGGAGGAGACGGCCGACCCCCTGAGCTCCTCCAACAGGTTAACAGACAGCGATTTACCAGCTCCTCCAGAGCCGGACGCTAAACCTGAGTCGTCGGCCAAGTCCAGCCCCGTGGCCGAGTCGTCGGCCGCCTCGCCTCAGACCGTCGACCCGGGCTGTGAAAAAGTTGCCCTGACCCAAACCTCCATCCCAGATTCCTTCCCCAGGTTTGGAGCTCATGGTGTGGATGTTCTTCAAACTCTGAGTGGTTCTCTTCAGGCCAAAGGCCAAGACAAGGGGAGGGAGGGTGGAGTGGGCGGGGTTATCCATCACAGCTCGCACCATCTGGACCCACCAGGAGAACGTTCTCCATCAGCCAAATGGCCGACGGCCGCCTCTTCTCCGACGGCTCCTCAAGTAAAGGACGAAGAAGAGGCCGTCCACAGCGACTCCACAGAAACGGCTTCAGACTGTGAGAACGACAGCCAGGAGGAGGAGGAGGCGGCGGCGGCGGGGTATCCTGACCCCAGCTGGAACGCCCAGCCGAACGGACAGCTGGTCATCTGCAGCCTCCCCCCTCAGAACCAGCCGCCGCTCATCCAGGCCTTCCTACCCAGCCACAAAGGCCAGACCGTCATTCAGCCCCGCTTCCCCAAAGCTCCGCCTCACCTACCAGACAATCATACTCAAGACCGCCGCCATCTTAGTCCTCCTGTTAAAGTGGAACCTGGAGAAGACGGCTCCAAAGAAAGCTCTGCTGAGGGGGAACTTTCAAAGTCTCCCATCGCTCAGCCAAATGGTTCCGCCGCCGCCAAGCGACCGCCTCAGTCCGCCAGAGCCGTGTCATCAGTGGAGGCCAACAACCCTCTGGTGACGCAGCTCCTGCAGGGCAGTCTGCCGCTGGAGAAGGTCCTACCGCCACACTCCGCCACTCGGCTGGCCTTTAGCTTACTGCCGCCACAGAGACCCACAGAAGCGGCCCACAGGTCCGACTCCTCTGCTCAGTGTCCCACTCCAGATTTGACTCGTAGCCTGAACAAGTCGCCCACCAGCCATCGGGTCTCTGGCGCCGCGGACGTGTCGCAGCTGTCTGCCGTCCCCGTCATCACCTCTCTGCCCTCCTCTTTGTCTAAAAGCACGCCTCTGGCCGCCGTAGAGTCCCGAGTTATTAAAGAGTGCGGCGCTAACCCGCATCAGCAGAGGGACGCTCCAGACAGGCTCCAACTGGTCGACCCCGCCGTGTCCAACGGCGGCGCAGCAGACAGCGCGGACGGAGCCGCCGGGGTCAAGCTCGGCGCTCCTCTCTCTCTGTCCCATCAGAGAAAGCCGTCTCCTGCTCCGGCGGTGAAGAGCGAAACCGCTTCACGGCCTTCGTGCCAGGGCGCGGCCAAGTCCGCCGCCGCCGTGCCTAAGAAGGAGCCGGCCAACGCCATGGACGGGTACCTGAGCGGAGGCGCCATGGAGGGACTGCTGAACATGGAGATGACTTTAACCAGGATATCAAAGAAGGAGCACAGCAAAGCTCCGTGCTCCTCCGGCTCCCCCTCCTCGCTCTCTCCTCTGCCCTCCTCTTCCTCAGCCTCGCTCCCCTTCCAGCTCTACGGGAAGCTTCCTAAACAGGGCGGAAACGGGGGGGTAGTGAGCTACACGGCTAACGTGTCCATGATGGATAACGGCGGTTTCTCGCGGGGCGTGGCTGATGGCGTGCTCCAGCTGCGCCCTCGCCTGGCGTCCAGCCACACCACGCTCAGCATCCAGGCCTTCACGGACAGTACGACGGAGGAGGTGGCGCTGAAATGCTCCTGCCGCCTCAAAGCCATGATCATGTGCCAAGGCTGCGGTGCCTTCTGTCACGACGACTGCATCGGACCTTCCAAACTCTGCGTTTCCTGCCTGGTGGTCAGATAATGTGGAACCAGCAGCGTTACTGGGCAGCTCTGGGTGGGCGGGGCATCCCAACTGCTCAAATCTAACCTGTAAAATAAGTTGCTCTAGTTGCAGATTTTGTGATTTTTCTTTTTGTATTGTTTATTATTCTAATTCTTCTTGTTGTGAATGTGGGGCATGCTTTCCTGTACATTTGGCCATTTACCTCATCTTGTCTTGCTCCACTTTGCATCGTTTGGAGGTCACTGTTGTTTTGATTCTTATTTGCTCTGCAAATAGGGACTGACTGTTTGTCCAAAGAAATATTTTTTTATCCATTAAAACAAATAAATAAAAATGGCTCCTTTTTTGCCTCATTTGAAAATTTCCCGTGACGGCGTGTGGTGATGGCGGACGCGTGAAGCCATCGCTGTGGGCGGGGCGTTGATGAACTTTAGTAAAACTGATGATCAGACTGAAAGTTGAATGAAATTCAGCCGTTTTCTCGCTGAGAGTTTCTCGAACCGCTTCAGCAGGCGGCGAGCGCAGAGCAGATATCCTGAAACAGGTGAAGCCGTCATCACTATGGCAACAGGATATGAGAGGACTGCATCTCTCTAAAGTATTAATGGTTTATAAGGATCATTAAACTGAATTTTCCTAAAGAGATTCTGTCACTGCTGCAAATAAAGAGACAAAATGAATCTGCATAGAAAATGATTCAAAGCGTTAATTTAATGTTGACCTGCAGCAATAAACCAAGATGGCAGCAAACCAGGATAAAAGGTAAAATTCCAGTATGGGCCTTTATGTTTAAATCCAGTTTAAAGGGAATTCTGTTCCATTATTTTTCTAAATAGAAATAAAGAAATAAATTCAGGAAGGAAACTTTGAAAAAGTATTTTATTTTGAGAGGAGAGTAGATGTTTAATTTTTCACTAATGGCTCCTTTAGATAAATCTGATTCTTTGTGTTGGAACCAAAGACTGGAGATTAAAATAAAAACAGTAAAATATATTTGGAAAACTTCTCTTTATGATGGAAATCAACTCAAACATCGTCCGTTAAACTAAGGAAACAATTTCAGGACTGATTTCATCTCAGCTGCTAAATGAGCATAAAAGAGAAATCTTTATCTGATCTCACAATCTTAGTTTAAGTTTTTTAGATTTGCTCTTTTCTCCTGATCCTGGCAGCTTTTTTTTTTTAAACTTTGTTTATTTGCTTTTTAAACAAACATGAACAAGAACACACATTGCTAAACATTCCTTGGCACATAGAGATTATGTAACAGTGCATAACGGAGAGCAAGTAAAAGAAAGTCCAGCATCCATGGAGCTGACTGATACAGAGTGTAAAATGGACTGATAAACTAGAAAGATGGACAGTTAATACATTATAACAGTCTGTGGGATTCAGTAGAATTGGAAATAAATCTCTCTATAGGTAACCATCTCTTTATAAAAACATCAAACTTCAGTTGTAATTGGGCAGTTAAAGCCTCCATTCCATATACCTGCTTCCACTGCAACCGTAGGAGGCAGTGCATTCCTCCATTTTATCGTTACCATTTTTCTAGCAGTCATCAGTTTAATATGTATTAAATACTTTTGATCTCTGGAGTACTTGTCCTCAGGATTTAGGTCCAAAAGAAACTGTCTCGGATTGAACGGCGAGTCAGTACCCAGAACCCTGTCTATCTCACTCTTTACCCCCCTCCAGTGAGGAAGCATCATTGGGCCATCCCAGAATATGTGTAGGTGGTCGCCAATCCCTCCACATTTTCTCCAGCAGTACATAGCAGCTGGGTTATCTACAAATTTAGAGATCACTAAGGGTGTCTTAAAGAACCTTGTCTTCATCTTCCAGTCAAATTCCTTCCAAGTGTTGCTATTAAAGGAATAGTACACCCAAAACATGATTAGCCTTCATTTTCTACTCACCCCCATGCTGAACAACACTCTGGAGTACTTTTTTGA